GTCACTTTGTTTATTTATGCAAAGCTGGCTCATCTGTGAAATGGGGCTTTCAAGGCGTCTGACATCAAAGACTCCAAAGCTGGTCCCATCAAGTCAGAGCAGGGACGGGCCTTGCATTATAACAAATTGAAGCAACTTTGTGAATCATAGGGAAATATGATGGCTAGATTTTTGCTTCAAAAATTGGGCTGTTGTTTTGAGTTGTGGTTGGATGCTCAGCACATGGTGTTGGTCTGAAAACCAGTCATACCCTCTCAGATAAAACATGAGGCCTTCATGGAGAGCCTGTGGGTAAACAAAATTTGATCCTGACTCAGTAACATTCTGAATATTTCCCATCAGTTTCTCTCAGAGCTGGACCATTATGCAGAATTTTCCATGTGCTTTAACTTTTAAGAGGGAATGGAACAATTCTGCTATGGTAATAAACAGTAACCATATCCCCACTGATGTGGCAGTCTTTGTCCCATAGGCTTCTCAGTGGGCTTTGTCAGTTGATGGAGTTACATACAGAAATCCCTTTCCTGCAGAAATCCAGCCTGCTTTGGGACACCACACTCTTCCCCAGTGCCACCAGTATCTCAGCCCTGTGGCATCTCAGACCTGAAAGCCAGCTTGGAATGAGATCCTGAAGCAAGGGAGAGGCAATGGCTGGAGAGCAGCTGAGGATGATGCCACTGGGGTGACATTCCTGAAGAGAGGGCTGATGCCTCTGTGTCCATCCTAGCCCTGTTGCATGGCCATGTGCAATATTTGGAGGGGAAGGGCCTACACGAGTTTGTCCCATGTCTCCAAGTCTGTCACCTGACACGATATTGGAGCCTTGCCCTTCAGGTTTCTTGACCAGCCAGCATGCTCTGTTAACACCATGGAGCCAAATTGTACATTAAGGACACCTAAATCATGGGTATGTTTTCTTAGCACTCGTGATATAAAATTAGTCAGTGATTGCTTTTCAAGGCAGGTTTTCCACTTCATCTTCCAACTGGCTGCTATCCTAAGCGTGTGATACTGTCCAAGAAGTCCAGTGCAGGATGACCTTCCAATATAGGTCACAGAAAAGGGAGCTTGTAGGAAACTTCAGCAGTTCATCCTTCTTAGCACTGCCTCTCATGGTAATCTGCTGGCAGCAAATTTGGCAGTGCTGCATAGCTGGTCCCTGCTGCCCTTGGACTGCAGGCTGATTTTTCTGTATGTACTTATCACCCCAAACTGCCCACCTCTGTGGGGAGCTGATGAGCATGAATAAACAACCGGATTATTAGGTCATTTCTTGAATATAGCAAAGACTCATGATCTCTGCTACTAACTCACCATTTTGTACGCTGCTCATATATATCCAAATGTGGCGTCTTTCTCCAGGTCCTCACTGTCTAAGAAGAATACTGCCAGGCCAGTTGTGTTTGTGACAGCTGGAGTAAAATGCAAACAGCAGGTCTTCAGACCTGACACTATTAAGCAAGCTTCAGACTGCAGGTTTGGGCTGAACCAGATGCCTCTGAGCTTTTAGGAAATTTAGCTTTGCTTTCAGCATCACAGACCCCTGTAAAACACTATAAAAGTGTTTCTCTATCCTTGGAAAGCACTTGACACTAAAACTGAAAAAATAAGAAAGTTGTTCAAAGCAGAGAGAAACAAACTCCACGCAGCCACAATACTGACTTTGGTTGAGGCAGGTGGAAGTCAAATATTGATGGTGTCTGAATTAGACAGGGGCCTTCCATCCTCAGGGTGTTTCTGAGTTATCTCTCTCCTGAAGTAATAAAGCAGCTCTTTTTTGGTTCTTTGTAAACACAGGTCAGAGCTTAAGACACTCACCCAAGGTGCAAGAGGGGAGATTCAAATTCCTCTCTGAATGCAGCAGAAGAGAGCCCTGACCCTGCGTCACTCACATCACAGATTAGATTATATTTATTTATCATTATATCTCTGGCTACTTCACTGCCTCACTCACTTTTTAAGTTCAACTGGAGACTCAGGGGCATCAGGGAATCTTCCCCAAATGAGCTTCATCCAGTTTCTGGATGTCACAAATCGGCTTTTTGGTACAGCTGCTGCATGTGAGTTTGTTCAGATATGAAGAAGGTAGGAGCCAAGTTCACTGCACGTGGCAGCTGGAAGGGTTTGTTGTAACATTCCTCACCCCATGAGCAGCTTTGGGGAGGGGAAGGAGCAGTTTTGCTTTACAAGAGTTGCCATGTTTATGGCATTTCCCCACCTCAAGACTTCAGCTATTGTTGTTAGTGTTACCAGATTCCAAGCACATGTGAAGCAATTTCCAGCGTATCTAAACTAATGTGCCTAAATGCATTCAGTTACTTCAGTCTTGCTCCTCCACCAATTCATCTATTCCATCAGCCATTTATGGTGGCATAAGTCATCCTGATCTCTTTCCCCAAAAATGTTTTTTCTGGGTTTGGTAGGTGACTCCACAGCAATTTGTTGGGATAACAACTGACGATGCATCTTCAAAGGATCAAACGGATTCTGAGCAATTTTCCTTACATCAAAAGCTTGGCAGCAAGTCAGGAGGTGTGGAGTCCATAGTCAGTGGTTGTGTGTCAGCAGGAGGAGGGCACAGGGGCTGACTTACTGTAATGTGAGGCAGCAGGCAAGGGGGATTTTATACATGCCCTTTATACATCAAACTGAGCAGGATTAAGGTATAATTGACAGAACATCACCACTTGAACGTCGTGACCACTTTTATGATATTCAGCAGTTAACAATAGACAGAAATCCCAGATCTCTGACCACAGTTCTTCCTCTCCATTTCAATACATTTTTCTAATTGTGCTGAGGGATTTACTGTCAGGCAGTATCCAAGAGTTCATTTGTGACACTGATATTTATGAGAAAAACTGTACAAGTGCCAGGAGATAGTCCCTTTGGTATTTTGACTGAAAGGAGAAAACGTCATATGCAAGCCATCATGTATAATGTGTATTTTTGTATTCCCTGCATTTGGTTTGCCAAGGTTGTAAAAATAAACTTGCAAAGTGTAGCTCAGGGGGCACTGGTCCCCTCTGTGACACAGGCTGCAGGCAGAGCCTGGATGGTGCTCTGGCACTCAGGCTCTCTGTGAGACTTGGTGTTTGCTGAGTGGGACCTGTTTCACCCTGCTGCCCGTGTTTTGGGCATGTCCATGGTCTGAGGCACCCAGGAAAGGCTCAGGGTGTCCAGCCATGGACAGAGGGTGCCAGGAGGTGGGATGGGGCAGTCAGCTGGAGGAGCTGCTGAGGTTTGAGCATGGCACTGCTGCCCAGAAAGTTTTCTTTTCCCCTTGAAGTGACAGCTGTACATAGCTCCAGGAGAAACTGTGCTGAAGTAGCCAAAAGGAGAAGAGAAAAATCTCTCAGTGTCGAAGGGGGACAAACTCGTGGCATTGCAGCTTCTCTGCTTAAGCGACAAGGCTAATGAGAGCAGATCATTATTTATCTGTTGGCATATAATGTCCTGTGCTGAAGAGATATTCCAAAATAGCAGAACCTGGAGTGAGGATTGGGTTAGACACATTCTTCTCTCCATTCTTCTCTCTCAAAGACTGCACACAATTTTACCCATTAAATCCTGTTTTAAGCACAACTCAATTTGTAAAACAACATTAAGGAGAAGTTCTACTATTTGTACCTTTTCAGGAAGGCATGCTTATATATAAGCTGAGATCCGTTTTTCCTCTCTGTTGCATAGATTACAGAAATAATTTACCTCTCTTTTGCTCACAAGACCCTTTTTTTGTGAGTTTCAGGAGTTGGGCATTTGGAGGCATTCCTTCCTTAAATTAGATGTTTCTACTTGTCTTTATTTGTTTGGGTTTTTTACACCATTGTTTTCCTCATTGAGGCAAACTTTCTCCTAGCCTTCACCTGACCTGTCTCTGAAAATAAAATTTTCACCCACTTCAGTCCACTAAAGTTAGGAGCTGAGGAGCTCTTGGTCCAGACTATCACCTGAAATGCAGCTGCCCTCAGGGGCTGTGCCACCTTGTAGAGCACAGAACTAGTCTTAGAAGAGAATGTGTTTTGCTGCAGCATCATGTGAAGGTGCTCGGGGTGCCTCAGGTGCACCTCCCTCCTGGTGTGAGCCATTGCTACGTCAGAGGCTGCTCAGAGCTGAGCACTCGTGCAGTAGAGGTCAAGCTGGAGGAGGAAAAGCTTTCACATCTGTGTGCTGCAGAGGTGTGAGGCCACCAGTATCACTCAGGTTGTAGAAGGAGGCTCAGGGCACTCTCCTGCTCCCTTGGCCCTCCTGGAGACCTCACAGGTGGCCATATCACAGTAGCAATTGGAGGTGGGGACTGCTGGGGAGATGGGGGTTTCACTTTGTAGAGCTTTCTATTTCTTCAGGGCAGAGCTGAGATTTTGGTACTGCTGTGTGGTAGTGATATAGACAACAAGAGTGATGAGGGACAAAGTGGTGTGTTGATACAGGTGGATGGGTGGTCTTAATTAAAAAGAAACACCCCAAAACAGCTTTTCAAATCAATATTGGTTTTGCCAGCCGTAAATTTGCATTCAGTATCCCTGGAGAGCTCATTTGACCCCAGACCTGCTTGCTTTTCTGATTTTGTATGGAAGCAGAAGGGTGAATTAGTGGCCACAATCATACTGCTTGTGCTCTGTATGCCTCATCATTGAAATCTCCCCCCATCTCATAGGTTTCATTATCTCTAATTTTGATTTATACCATTAGTTGACTAGATGGTACCACAGATCAGCTCCTCCTAAGGAACAGCAACCTGTAAACATAAACAAAGAGGCTTTTGTCAGCTATTAATGGCAACATTGATTAAACTCCCATTGATTTGGTAGCCTGCCGAAAAGCTCATAAAGCAGAAGACGAAATTGTTCATTAAACTGGCCAGGCTGTAGGTGCCAGGATGTGGATGCCTGCTGTATGTTGAGTTTGCTTCAGCTGCATGGTGTCTCCAGCACAAAATGCAAACTCTTGTCATCCTGCAGGAGACCTTCTTAACGTTTTCCTTTACCTTTCCTTCACAGATGATGCCAGCTCAGGAAAGGACAGCCAGGTGCCTGAAGGCTCCAATGGAGAATATGAAGATCACTCTGGGAAGCAGTGGGGTAAGGAGCAGTGTGTGTTCTGTGGTTTTCCTCAGTCCTTGCTTCAGTGCTGTTCATGTGGCACATCTCTCAGTTGCTGAAGGAGAGGAAAGGCAGAGCAACTGGAGTGAGTTCTCCCTACATATGGTCAAATAATAAACAGAGTGTCAGCTGAATGTGTTGGTGTGAATGGATCCCATCCAAGGGTCCTGCAAAATGCAGCCTGTGGCTGGCCCTAGGGCCCCCTGCCATTTACCCCAGCGTGGTTCTCCCTTGTATTTGTTTTTCTGGGCAGCGACTTTTCTTCTGCATGTGCAGCTATTACAGCTTTCATAGACTCCCTGTAAAAAGTATATTGACTTTTACAGCAATATTTCCAAAAGTCTTCAGTGCCAACATAACATTGCTCTGACTGAGGGCAAATGGGAGGTCTGACTTCACTTCAGGAGAATTAGCACTAAGCCAAGATGAGTATTTTTTAAGATCACCCTCTCTTTCAGACACCTGCCTGAACTTCTTTAAGCTATGGACTGTTCAGGCAGATTTTGTTGCTGTTGCAGAGCTTTGGGGAGCTGCTAAAATCTCACTTGGAACAGGCTCTGAATCTCTGCAAAACTTGCAGGTCCAGTTTGGTCCAAGCACTCCTTGAAGGACAATAAGTTGTCAGGCTGATGCCAAACAGCTTTTGGCCATTACTGACAGGAGTGTGATGTGAGTTTATGAGCTCAGGGGATGAAGCACAGCATTTCATTTTGCTCAGGCAGTACATCCCTCTCTTCAGTTTTATAATACAGAGATGGCTTTGTACCACATTTGTGGCCAGGGAGAACCTCACAGTAGTGGTAGGGGTGGAACATGACAGGTTTTCTCTGTATGAGTCCCCACCACTTAAGCTGCGGACAGTTTTCTTCAGCAGCTGGCAAACAGGGATGTGGTGTGCTGTGTTGTAGTCCAGGCTACACTTGAATTAAGTATTTATCTCAGACTGAGCTTGTTTGGGGAGAGAAAGGTAACCTCCACTCATTCTGGAAAGGGTTGATAACATTTTAGAGCTGGAGGAAGGGTGTCTTGGATAACTGCAGGTTAGAAGTACTTCAGGAAGGGCTCAGCAGCTAGTACAAATCTGCCATCTCTCCACATTTCATTACCATTGTGCTCCTGGTAGAGCTGCTGGATGATGGACTAATACAACAGTACAACAGTAATATTATGAAGAAAATATGTAAATCCTACTCAAATTATTAGGCATTGACAATCTTGTATCAGATTGTGTCTTACTCGGTGCTGCCTTGGCCTAGTTCAGTGTTCCTGAACCTCTGCTTTTTCTTCTTCCCATCCCTCCTGTCTCCTCTCCTCTCCCCAAGCAGAGAAATGCCTGGGGCTGGCTGTGGCACCCTTTCAGTCTAGCACTGTTCACCAGTAAATTGCTGGTGTGAGCTGGTGTGCAGGGAGGGTCAGTGTGTGTCTGCAGGTCTCTGGAGGATGATGGATGAAGAAGCAATTTGTGTTGTCACAGTCCTGGGCCCCTGGATAAATGTGAGAGGAGAAGCATGGTGAAAAAAAAAGCTCCACTTTTCCATCTACCATCACAGAGTGGTATCTCTGGGGAGAGCAGGGAGCTGGTGTGGGGAAAGATGGAGACCCCCATCCATGTCTCTCACAACTGACTGAGATCTTAACCAGAAGAGCTGAAAGTATTTCAATACATAGTCCTATTGAGACACACTTTTTTGTAATTATCATGAAAGCTGGAAGTGACTGTCACTACGTGGAGGTACTGGTGCTGCATCACAGCAGACAACATTTTTCAGATTATCACCTCCCTTTGTGTGAGCAGTGTCTGACAGGAGCCTCAGGGACCTCCATGCCTCTCAAGGTGTCTCACAGGGAGAGGACACCAATGGATTCATTCACAGGTCTTGGTGCTGACAAGCTTCCATTGCATTTAATTTTCATTAGCTTTGAATAAATCTTCATGGTCAACAGCATTTCAGCCAGGAGCCTGTACACAACACTGTCTCTTTGTCCCCATCCACTTGTGTTTTCCCTTGCTCTTGAGTGGGACATAATTTATACTGTAAAAATGTGTGGTTCATGTTTATGAAGCAAATGCCAAGTGATGTGGAGGAGAACAAGCATGTGAATAACACAGAGGCACTTTGTAATGGCCTTTGCTGGCACTCAAACAGGCAAAACTTCTGTAAATGGAACAGATTTGGGGACAGACATTTAGCATCAACTCAAGAGACCTTTTCTTCCTGTCTCTCACAGTGCTGCTTCTCCTCTTTCTTCTCCTTTGTGCTTGCTGCTGCTCTTTTTCTCTCTAATGTGTGTCTCTCTCTCTCTTTCTCCTTTTTTTGTTAACTGGCTTTTCTAAACTTGTCCAATTCAGGCTTTTGTCAAGGAAACATTCAGGACTGTGTAAATGGGATCTGGTTTCAGCATATTGCACGTAGCCTGGAGTAGCTTTTGAGACCACATAATCACTTAACCTTTTTTAAACAGAAAAAGAAAGAAAGGAAGGCTGAAAGATCCAAAGAAGTGTAGCTTTACCTGTAGTTTGGTATGTATTTGGGCAACCATGTGTGAGGAGTGAATACAAAACTCCAGACAGACTCATGGGAGTCACAGTGGGAGGAAAACCAGAAATGTTAAATATCTGCTTTCTTGGGGTGGAAAGAGTTTCTGTCTTAAAATGCCCTTATTGCCCTCTACTGAGCAGGGATGCCAGCAAGTTCTTCTGAGAGTTCAGAGTCACTCACTTGACTTTTCAGTCTGCTGGGGAAGTGTGACTGTCCTGGCTCCAGCTTGCTCTTTGGTGTATTAGTCCCAGCTCAGGAATCCTGTCCATGAGGATCTCCCCTCTACTAAGACCTGGAGTTCCTGGTCTCGGAGTAAATTTCTGCCATATTACAGAGTGACTGTTCAGACCCATTGCATGGCTGATTCCTGACCTCTCCATGAGCCTTGCAGACATTTTCTCAATTTCCACAATGACAGCCCTTATCAGCACGTCTCCCTCGGCTCAGACGAAAATTTGGGATGTTGCTGCCCGCAGTGTGCAGCTCTGACAGGGTCCATTGTGAGGAAGGAGAATTGTCTCTGCTGTGAGGGGGCCTCCTGCAGCAGACCCCAAAGGGAACACCCAGCAGTCCAGGCACCATGACCTGTGGAGGGGGTTAGTATGTCACACTTGCTGCTCAGCTGTCATGGCAAAGACTTCCAGTGCCGGAGTTACTCCGGTTCATTGGGTTACACATGAAAGCCTCTGCATGGAGAGCAAAGCATTTCTGAGCAGGAGTTTGAAATAACATGAAATGGCTGGGACCCAAAATGACAGCCAAGGGGGGCAAGGGAAGGCTGTGGAGACAGATGGTTTCCCCTGCGGAAAAGCACTCTGCGGAGAGGGGTATGCCGAAGGGTATCCTCTTCCCAGAGGGAGGGATGTTGGCCAAGGCTGCAGGGGGGTGAGTGCTTGGGGGTGTGCTCACAAACCTCAGAGGGCAGTGGCTGCCATTCCCCAGTGCTTGGAGATAGGAAGCTGCAGACCAGCCTCTTCCATTCAGGAAACCTCCACTATAATGCACATCCCAGAGCTTCTGGCCCTCAGCCCTGGGCAGCAGGGATGGCTGTCAGGTAGGGAGTCTCACTAGGCCATCCTGTAGCTGGCCAGGGAATCCCTAGAAGTGCTTAAAAAGCATGTAGGTATGATCCTTAGGGACATGGTTTAGTTGTGGAGCTGGCAGCATTGGAATAATTTGGAGGTCTTTTCTGACTTCCAACAGGATGGGCTTAGTTAGAAGTGCCCCTGGACTGGCATTGTGTAGTTAAAATAACCGTAAGAAATTTGTTATTTCTTTTAAATTCTTCCTTAAATTTCAGACTTTGCCAGGTGAGGGCCTTGCATTTCTCTAAGATTTTTGTCTTTGTTCTTAGAAATATTGGTGATTTCTTTGCTTAAACAAGATGACTGATTTAACCCACGCTTCTATCCACCAGCAGCTATTGCTTCAGAATTCCTCCCCAGTTTTGGGATGGACTGGCATGGGGTACCATCTAATAACAAACTCATGGAATTTTATTTGGTCTTTTCATTCCTTTTTTTGCTTCTTTGGACCAATCAACATGAATGTTGTGTAAATTGGAGCTGAACGAATTGCATACATTTAAGTTTGGATCAGTGTACAAAAAGTCTGTCACACTTCTAAGACTTCCCTGTGTATTTAAAAGAGACTCTTCTTAAGTCCCAATAAAGTCACTGAGAACTAAGAGGCAAAACATCTTCAGGAAATGAAGCTTCATGTGACAAGCAAAAAATTGAGAAAATGGTCAGCGTGACAGGAATCTGAGTTTTTTCCTTTGGTCTTGGCTAAGGAGTTTGTGGAATATGGTAACAATTACCGTGTGATTATGGGGCCGCGTTTTGCCTTCAGCTGCAATAGCATGATCTTGGTATTATTTTGTGAGATGGTCTGGTGCAATTGCCTTACAGATACAGAGATTCTGGGGCTGTGCTGTGCAGAAGTTCATGCAGTGGCCAGGGCAGTCCAGTAGAGCTTCAAATGCATTGGTCTGGGTGGTGAATCTGTTCTAGGGAAAACAGCTTGAGCTGGTATGAGGGACAGTGATACATTGGTGTGTATGGGGCTGCCTCTCAAGCAAATCTGGCCACAAGATTTAACAAGTTTCCTTCTTTGCTCATGTCCTGTGCTCACCACCGTCCATTCTGATGTCTTTTGCAGCCCGGCCCAGGTTCACTCAGCCTGCCAAGATGAGACGCAGGGTGATCGCCCGCCCCGTCGGCAGCTCCATCCGCCTCAAGTGCGTGGCCAGCGGCAACCCCAGGCCCGACATCACGTGGCTGAAGGACAACAAGCCCCTCACTCCCCAGGAGATTGGGGAGAACAAGAAGAAGAAGTGGACATTGAACCTGAAGAACCTGAAGCCAGAGGACAGCGGGAAGTACACCTGCCGGGTGTTTAACAAAGTTGGAGAAATCAATGCAACGTACAAAGTTGAAGTGATCCGTAAGTGCAGCTCCAGGAGGGAGAGCAGAGAGGGGCCTTTCAGAAGGGGACTGGCTCAGTCAACACAGTGTTGACTGAGCAACAAGTGTGCAGTGTTGATGGCTGGAAATGGGGAATTAATAAATACATCAGAGAAAACATACATACAGAGAAAACATTACATACAGAGAAAACATTGGTGAAACTCTAGAATGAGCCTGAAACCTGGGCAGGAGAGAGTAGTGAGAGGACAATTGAGGAGCTGAAATGAGGACAGGTACTTGGAAAACAATTGTCTCCACGGGCACCTGCATGGTGAAAGTCATACCCAATTCAGTCTTCTACAGGAGAGTCAATTCAAGGACAGACTGAGAACTAACAGAGAAAGCCCTTTCAAGTACCATGGTGGGGGGGGAATATCTAGGATAACCCAGATTAGCATGCCAGAATGGGTGAAATCAGTCAATTAAAAATTTAATCTAGAAGTTTCCCAAGGGAATTAGCAGAAATCCTTGTGATTAGAGTGACTAACCAGACCAGGCTTTAGGGCCAGATTCTAAAAAACGTTTGGCCATCTGAAAGTCCAGGCAGGTACAAATGAGTTACTAAAAAAAAGAAACCATAAAAACACCCACTAGGATCCTGTCTGTATCTTTAGATGCCTACATAGCTTTAAAGATTCAATCCTTAGAAGATGAGCTGTGGGGGATTACCCTGCATTGTGGTGAGGTAAATTGCTCTTCTTACTATCTAGCCGTTCTGATTCTTGCTCTCTAATCTTCTGTTTCCCCTATTATTGCTGAGGATAATTATGCTCAAATCCTTCCTAAGTTTACCAGAGACGAGCTCTTATTCTTAAATCATTGTGCTTTGCCTGTGACATCATCATAAGTTGTCATGGAAATGATTACAGAGTAGCCAACTCAAGAAAGAGGAGAAGATGAGCTGAGTGGAGGGAAGATTGAATAGCCCTCATTAATGAGGAGCAGGGGCATGGAGGGCTACTTCCAGCCACTTGGAAAGCATGTTGTTTGTCTGTGCATTTTAGCATAAGAAAGTTTATCCCAGTGTGAAAGATTGCTCTTAAAGGTAAAGATCTGTTCTCTGATAAGTCCTTTCTCTAGAATCACAGGAATTAAAAGCACATGTGGGAAGCTCTGTTGGGCTCTGAAGGCACAAACCTGCTGGACATCTGGGATTGATAAAGATGCAGCTGTGTGGAGACAGTAAAAACATGTGTTTACACTAAAACCAGGAGCAGAGGCAGGGAAATGAATCAAGGCCCATCCTAATGGCAGCTGTGGCATTTTCACTTCATCAAAACCAGACAGCACCAGGAACAAACCCCTTTCTGTGTCCCTGTTTATCTTGGTTTTTATCAACTTAAAGATGTATGTAACCTTTGTTTTCATTAGCTTTTGCTGGCTAGGAGTAAAAACAGTAACCAAAGCTGGAACCAGAGTCAAGGAGATAAGGGCATTAAGCAGTTTTCAGACATCTTTCTATTTTTAACATCATTCTGTGGAGCATTACAGGTTTTATTCAATTTCCTCCTTTTTTTCCCCCCTGAGCCTCTACTCCTAAGTCCTGCTTATCTGAATCTCAGTCTCCCCAGTTGTGATTGCTGCTCACAGTCCCAAGGCAAAACCTACAGAGACTACTGTGGTATTTTTGTTTCCTAAGCATCTTTAGAGCCCTCAGTATTGAACATATCCCGAGTTTTTGAAAGAGGGTCCATTGTTCCTCCCTCTCACTCCAAAGCCAGTGCTGGTGGGAGCTGTTTTGTTACATGCTCAGTCCAACAGTGTTTGCCATCAAAAGGAGTTGATGATTGCCAGCAGTTACCACCCACTGTGATACCATAATTTCTCCTATGCCTAAGATAGAGGTTTGCAGTACCTCCTTGTCTGGAAACTGTGACTGATTTATCTGATCCTAACACTAAAAACAAATCCAAACATTCCTCAGAATGAGGCATACATTTTTCCTTTCACTTTATGTGGTGTTGACACAACCTTAGACTTAAGATCATGCTGGAAAGGATGGTCTTGTGAACGTCTTCAGTTTGATTTCTTTTCCTTCCATCTTGTTTCCTACCTTGACTGAGACTTGAGGCAAAAATAATTTGTGAGAAAGAAAAGATTTTGTTACTGGCTAGAAAAGCAAAAGCCTTCTGAGCTCATCCTCCACCATTTTTTTTTTTTCCATAGTGAGCATGGTGATGATTATACCAAAGAAAGGAATGATAAAAGCAAGTAGGTGAGGATGAAGTGAAAATCTTCCTCATGGGTAGTGCCTGTGGTCTCAGCTCTTGCAGCAGCTGGTGACATGGCATGGGATTGCTCCCAGTACAGTTTGGTCCCCATGGACACCTACAGGCCCAGCCTGAGAGGTGACAGGTATCTCCTGAAGGACTTCGAGACCAAAGATGAGAATATCCACAGCCTGCCATAGTCCATGAAAGAAGGGGTCTTTTCCCATCTGATTTTGTCTGTCCACAGGGAACGTTTGAGAAGGCCAGAGGGAGAAAGAATATGTCTCACCCCACCCCTTGCTATCCCCAAACTGGGGGTAGCCAGCAGGTGTGGGTTCCTAACAGATAAATATTTGTAAATATGAGGTTGTGTCTGAAAACACATAAAGGCTCTGTCTTACCTGTAAATTACAGCCTGCTGGTCATGGTAGTAAGTGACACATCACAGAACCACAAGTAGGAGACTTGCTCAGTGTGCAGAGGGATGAAGAAAATCTTCCAAAATATAAGGGCTCAGAGGGAAACAATTTTTTTCTCCAGGTCCGATACAGGTAGAAAAGGAAGTTCCTTGTTATAATCAGGAAGATTCAGGTTGGGCATGAGAACAGAATTGTTAAAGACTCAGACACTGGAGGAGTTGTTTGGAGAGCATCTACCATTGGAGGTTTTGGCAGAGGCTGGAAAAATGTGTATCAGGAGAAGTTTGCAAAAATCTCATCCTGCCTTGGTGCAGGGAATTGGACTAGACTATGATTTTGCATCCCTCCTACACCTTTTCCCTATGCTTCTGCAATTGCAAGTTACAGAGGTTGGCAAACACCTTTTCCCATGGAGCTCCCTGTGTTTCTGTGCAGAGAGGACGAGGTCCAAGCCCATCCTGACAGGGACACACCCCGTCAACACCACGGTGGACTACGGTGGGACCACATCCTTCCAGTGCAAAGTGCGCAGCGACGTCAAACCCGTCATCCAGTGGCTGAAGAGGGTGGAGTACGGCACGGAGAGCAAGTACAACTCCACCATCGATGTCGGGGGACAGAAGTTTGTCGTGCTGCCCACGGGGGAGGTCTGGTCCCGCCCAGATGGGTCCTACCTGAACAAACTGATGATTACTCGAGCCAAGGAGGAGGATGCAGGGATGTACATTTGCCTCGGAGCAAACACCATGGGCTACAGCTTCCGGAGTGCTTTTCTCACAGTCCTGCCAGGTGAGTTGTGACATTTTTCCCCCTCTGTTATCAGTCCTCTGCATCATGGTATTTATTAATTCAGCTACTGCTGCCCACTGTTTCCCTGGCCCTCTGTGATGCTGTGCTGATTTAGAATAGCCCAGTTCTGATAAGAGTGAATGGGGGACAAAATCAGCCCTGATTTAAGCCAGTTCCTGCTGAAATCCTGTTGATGATATTTCCTTTTCTCCCTTTGTGGGGAATAACCACAGAATCATAGATTAGGTAAGGTTGGAAGGGACCAAAGTGGGTCATCTGGTCCAACCTCCGTGCTCAGAGTCAATCCAGAGCACGTGGTACAGGATTGTGTCAGGATGGTTCTGGAATATCTCCAGTGAGGGGGACTCCACACCCTCTCTGGGCAATCTGTTCAGTGCTCAGTCACTGCACAGTAAAGAAGCTCTTCCTCACGTTCAGGTGGAACTTCTTGGGCAGCAGTTTCTGCCCTTTCTTTGTGTCCTGTTGCCCAACATCATGGAGCAGAGCCTGGTCCATGCTCTGACACCTCCCTGCAGATACTCACAGACATTGTTGAGGTGCCTCTCAGTCATCCAGGTGACATAAATTGAATTATCTGCTCCTGTTTGAAAAAGGAGCAAACTGGGAAAAGATACTGCAGTTGCAGATGCTAAATCACTAAATCACAGTGACAGGGAGCAGGATGGGAAATGGGAACTGAATAGCAGAACGGTTTGCAACCTCCAGAACCTGGAATTCCTCCGTTCTCTTGCCCTTATTTATAATGCTTTTGCTGGTAAAAGGAAACAATGATACAGGCCTGTAAAATGAGAGAAGAATAAAAACTGTCTGGGTCACAAGGAAATTAAATGAATAAGTGTGAAAACCAGAATGATTAGTTACTTTTTTATCCAGTGATCCCCTGGGGCTTCTGTACCAAACTCACATCTGCTGCCTTCCCTCCCCAGTCCTCAGAGCTGGTGGCCACATCCAACTGAGACTGTATCATTTGTTTTGAGACACACCATCTTGGCCTGGTCTTCTGCTCCTTTGTCTTCTGACTGTGCAGTTCTACCCTGATAAAACTTTTTGGAGTTAGGACTACACTCTAACTGAAAGGCCTGTAAATACCAAGGAAGAAGCAGCATGGGTGGGATATAACTCAAAGCCTCTGGGAGTTTCTGATATGAGAGTCTTATCCAGCTCCCACTGAAATCAGGGGGAGACTTTCCATGGATTTAAATGGGACTGTAGTGAGGCCTCATGCCAGAACCAGAGCCTGCAGGGCTGTTGATATTGGCAGTGATGGAGAAGGAGAACCCAGCTTGCACTAAGATGCAAAGATGTGGTTGTAAAGCCATGCGTTAAAAAAGACCATTTTGCTTTTAAGTCTACCAGATTTGACATTGACATCTCTGAGGAACACGGATGAATATCAAAACACTTTCTTTTCAGCCCAGCATAGGATTTCTGCCAACCAAGCATGAAGACTTCTGTTTTCATGGTCAGCTGATGGACCAGTTCTCTGATCGTGTCATGTTTTTATCAGGGGGCTGGACCAGACTCGCCTTCCAGCCTAAATTATTCTGTAATTTCCAGTGTTGGTGAATCAAAATTTCATCTACTGAGGTCAAAGTATGACCACATGGTATATATTTAACATTTCAAACTCCCCATGGGATTATTTGTCAAGGAGGGAAAAAGACATTAGTGTCTTAAAGAAGTTTAGTTTGAAAGTTAAGTGATACATGTTTGAATATAACATATTGAATGGTTAAGATAGCCTGTGTTTTCTGATGTTTTCTGGGTGTCTCCCTGCAAGCTGAATTCTGTGCCTGGGTACGTTTCAAGGCATTGGATATTCCAGCTGGAAGCTATGTGGACAAGGATTTTCATAGCTAGAATCCTACCCCAGGACTCCTTTTGGGTCTATAAATCAGCAGATCAGGCTGAGAAATGAGTGGCTATCCAGGGATAGCCACTGACTGCCAACTGCAGAGAGAGATAAAGGAGAAGATAGTTGTGAAAGAAGTCTAAAGCATCTTGTCTCCTCTAGCAGCTGAATTTACTGCACTTGAGAAACCAGCAGCAGCTCCAAAGAGACTGGTAGAGATAGAGCCCATTTGGTGTAGGAAGCTGGGGACACATTTCAATGCTGAATGAACTTTAATTTCTCTGTGGCTTGGGAACCAAGGAGGGGCCACCAGCTCACCTACATTTTTCCCATCCTTCAGCCTTCCTCCCAACCACACAAAAAAGTCAAGACAATGCCTCCAAAACCCCACATTCATTCTCCCTGCCATGGTGGAGCATTGCTGGGTATCTCCTGGATTGCTAGGCAGGATTGCTAGAGAGTGTCTGGAGCCCTTGCAGGCAGAGCTACACCTGGCAGAGGTGGGTGGACAGCGTGCTGTGGCTCTGTGCAACCTGACTGTGCTTGCTGGGCTGCTGACAATGAGCCTTTACTGACGTGTCCTGTGTTGTGTCCTCCAGTCTGGGCAGCAAAGCCCACTCTGTCATAGAGTGAGAGTGTTAGGAAGCTCTCTCAGGCTGGCTCTATGTGTCTTGTATCCATTAAAGCTTGGATAAGAGAGTTATAAAATCCCCCAAAGACTCCCCTCCTGACCCCTAAACCAGAGAAAATGAGTTGCTTGTCCTTCCAGGAGCACCAAAAAGCAAAGCAGTTACCAAACATCGTGTGTTAGCTTGATTTCTCCCTTGTTACTTGGTCTGGCAGGGTTGCCAGACAGCCTGTGCAGCAGCCAGCCCGAGTGTGACATCTGTTTTGAATTCTCTCTGCCTGCGTTTAATTAACTCTTTCTGTCTCTCCCCTGCCACCACGCCCAGATCCCAAGCCTCCCAGCGCACCTGTGCCCCCGTCCTCGGCCAGCAGCCTGCCCTGGCCCGTGATCATCGGCATTCCCGCCGGAGCCGTCTTCATCTTCGGGACGATCCTGCTGTGGCTGTGCCAGTCCAAGAAGAAGCCGTGCTCCCCTCCGGCCGCTGCCCCCGCGCACCGGCCGCCGCCCCGCGACAGGATCTGCGTCTCCCAGCTCCCCGACAAAGACTGCATCTCCTCCATAAACTACGAGGAGTACATGGCCCAGCAGCAGCATTTACTGTCCCAGGGGCCCGCCCTGGCCCCTGCCATGGCCTCCAAAATGTACCCAAAGATTTACACGGACATCCACACCCACACCCACTCGCACGTGGAGGGCAAAGTGCACCAGCACCAGCACATCCAGTACCAGTGCTAAGGCTTGGCCCCGTGTACAGCGGCTCCTTTGGGCTTTTCCTCGTGGTACCTCAGCAGAGACTGCTCCAGGTCAGCTCGCACTGCCAGCAACAGGCAAAGCAGACAGAAAAAGTTATATATGTAATTTTAAATATATATATACATATATATATAATTGTATATGCGTGTGTGTGTATGTGTGTATATATATATGTGTATATATCTATATCTATCTATATAAATATATATATAATAGAGAAAGACAGAGAGAGAAAAGAGATTTTTTTTTTTTTAATTATTGCAATCAGGATGTAGCCGAGGAATAATGAAGGAACTCCAATTCGCAGCAGAGAGGCAGCTGGCGCCAGCAGCAGAGCCTTCCTGGATATTTTAATCAAAGTGGCAGCAAGTGAGATGGGACACAGGCATGTGAACCACCACCTCCTTCCTTGTGTTACTGAAAGGAGCAGGTAGAGCAAGAAGTGTGTGTGGTACTTTTCTGGATGAGCCTGGATTCCTGCTGGGCATCTCTTGTTTTGGAGGGAAGCCCCCAGACCTGTCCTGCTCTGAGTGACTCCAGCTCCAACGTACCTGAGGTTTAGTGCCAAAGCACCAGAAGATGTAACGCATTCATCTCTTCCAGGGAAAGAAAATAACACAAGAGGGTCTGGAAAAACCAATTCTGTTCACAAGGGGAAATGCCACGTGCTTCTCAGCCGTGGTCAGCACAGTCAGCTAACCAAGCCGGTTGGTTCAGTTTCTGCAAGGTGAAGGCATCTTGTTTCCCGTGGGATGTTCTGCAGATCAGCTCTGCTCCCCTGGTCCTAGGACTCAGTGCCACTGCCAGGAAAAAGGAAAGAAGGAAAGAGGAACATTGTACAGAACACCTTTATATTTATATTTAAGAAATAATAATAATAATAATAATTGAACTGCTGATGGTGAAGAAAGCAAAACACACTGTCCTTCTCTGATGGCTTAGAGTGACAAGCTGCTGGATTTTCTGCATCAATGCAAAATACATGAAAGCATTAGAAAAAATAGTAAGAAGCAAAGAGAATGAAATAATCTTGTAGGAAAAAATTGCATTTGAGAAATATCCACCTATGTTGTGTGTGGTTGTCCCCTCCCCTCAGATATCGCTTCATAAGTGATAAAAGATTGCAGTTCAAACAGCAGTTAAAACAGAAAGAAGAGAAAATAAATAAGGACCATATTAAATACCTATATGGACTGGGAATGAATCCAATTGCAAAATATAAAACGTTTGTAATTCTATATAGAGTTTAAACAGAAGTCATGTATATTTAATTTATTTTGTTAAACAAGAAAAAAAAATGTATGATATTTTCCTCAAAACAGGCATTTCTATATGTATTTTTGATCAAAGAAAATAAAGATTTTTTTTTTTCAGGTTCTGTAGATGCCATGCTCAGAACACACTTGATATAGCTTGTGACCAACTGTGCTTCTCCTAACCTGCAGGCCACCTGTCTCTGTGCCTTTTCACACTAGCCAGGTGTCATCTCCTGTCAGCTCAGGTGCTGTTGGTGCCATCCTGTCCATCAGAAACTGACCTTTTCCACTGTCCAAATTCTGTCTGTCAGGGTCTGCAGATCACTTATCATGGACCCCAGCCATCCTCAGTGGCAGAGTTCTTCTCTCACAGGGAAAGCTGTTTCACTATGCATTTCTGGGGGGGTGGGGGAGAATGATTCATTAGTTTTTTAAGCCCAGACCTGCAGTGGCTTGTTGGCCTGGGGTTTTTTTGTTTGTTTGGTTGCTTTTTTTAAGAAAATTTTGTAAATCGAAGCGTAATAATTTGTGAGGCTATAAAAGGAACTTTGGCCTCAGGGTGCTTGGAAGGGGAAATCATGAAATGCAGGTGAAACACTTAATTTATAACTGTAGCTGCTTTAGGAACCAGTGGAGGGTGAGCTGGGCACAATGAGAAGAGAACACAGGAGCTGCTCCCCGTCAGGGGGCTTGAACCTTCCTTCTGCTGCACACTACAGAGTGGCTCTTCAGGGGCCAGAATTTTCTTTGGGGAAGGCAGATTCAGCAATAATGCAACTGTTCTTTTCATTTAGAGTTTGGTGGTTTAAAAACAAAAGAACAAAAAAAAAGAAAAGAAAATTTGAGAGATGCTAATTTTTAAGTTTGGAATTACTTCCTTCTCAAGCCTCTTCTATGAAAGAGATCCTCACCAAACCAGCTGCTCCATTTAAAAGTGAAACACTTTATTTAATCTGAAACAAAGCTGTGCTTTAGGCTTTGCTTTTCTCTTTCTGGAGGTATTTGCTCTGTGTTGACCCGCAGTGATTTTTTTTCTGGTGGTTTGTTTGAATCACCAGCAAACCAAACAGTTCCCTGTTTGCTCAGCCGTGGTGCTGCGAGATGGGGCCCCGATTCAGTGAAACACGTCAGCTCCTTTCTTCACCAGTACATTCTGCTCCAAAAAGTCCCTTTCTTGCCTTAGGAGTAGGTTATCCATGTAATAACCCCTAGAGGAAGACCATCCCTCCTGATGGTCCTCCTGTAGAGGTTGTAATAAAGCAACCCATTGATAACTAGTATTTTTCAGCAGGAGGGTTCAACACAAATTTATGAAGTCCCTAAAATTCAGATTAAGGATATCTTTATACCCATCCTCACACCTTCAGGGAGAGCTGAGAGGAGCTTAAGTGTGAGCACTGATATATAAGGCATGATTTAGGCAGGAGTTCTTGATGTCTGTAGTATACAGAGTCATTTCATTAAAAATTAAGTAAATAAAAAAGCCTCTATACACTCAGGACACCTTTATTTCAAGGAAGCAGTAAGTGCATGTTTCCATGAAAGATACTAAAGCCTGCATCTCATCTCTTGTGCCTGTGGGAAGATACTTAATACACTGCAGTGTGTCCCAAACTCCTGCACATTCCAGCAGCATTAGGGGCATGGCAAAAGGCAGGATTTCCCTGTAAGCCCATGGCCCTTCTCTGCCCTCTGGGCCGGTGTGTAGCGAGGTGACACTTCAGACCCATGCCCTGTGAGCAGTACTGACAGCCACACCAGGGGTGAGCACTGGCTTTGTGGGGTTCACCCTAAGCAAACCCTGAGAGATTCTCTAATGGCACCAGTTCAAGGGGCAGCTCTGTCTCTGAGCCTCAGAGAGAGGGTTAGAGGGTTAAGGGACACACTCCTGCGTTTCCCATACAGCACAGAATTCCAGGCTGTGCCTCGGCTCTCCACCAGTGCCTTCTGCCCTTTGTGACCCATCCCTGTAGGGCTGTATCGTGCAGGCAAAAACTTCACATTTTGTCAGATGGCTCAAGTGGAAGGTGTGGCTTCTTCCTGCCCTTGAAAGCTCCTGAATCAAAAGGTAAATCTCTAGTGCTGCTGACAGAGCTCTCCAAAGGCAGATGTTGCATTAAACTACCGAGCGTGGACGATGCATCAGCCCAGGGCAGCGGCAGCTCTCGGCTGTGTCACTGAGAATGCAGCTCTGGCTTTGGATGCACCATGAGAGATGCTATAAAGGTCTTGATTTGCAGAAAGCATGGGGATTTCATCCTGCCTTGGGTATCTGCTCCACCCTGACCATCAAAAATGGTGTGAAATTTCTCCCCATGGAAATACCATCACATGCCCTGTTTAGGAGGGGCTGTGTTTTTTGTCTGGGCCTTGTGCTGGTTTGCTGTGCCTGGGTGGATGTCACATTTTTATTTTTCCTTCACAATTTATCTCTAAGACCTTTTCCGAGTCACTCTGCATGCCGTTGAATTTTAGGGCTTGATTGTGCCTTGCATATATTGAAAAGTCTTCCGTGGTTTAAATAAATCCAACCAGGTCATACTTGTGTATGAATATGTTTTTTATTCAATGGGAAAAGATTTGGATGCATCTTCATTCCTAAATAGAGGGTGTTCAAAGAAAACCATTGTCTCATTTGTGGTAACTGACCCTGTGTTGAACACAGATTTTTATTTTATGTATTTCTATACCTATGCATATAGGCATATGGATGTCCATGCCAGGCTGTGGTACAGAATGCAGTTGTACTTGTAAAATCATGGAGCTTCAAAGATCAAAGGAATTTTAGGCCTAAAACTCACTATCTTTGTTAATTTTATTTGCATTACAGATCAAACATGGCTTTACCTACCAGTTTGTGCGTGGCATTTTTTAACTTTGTATGGACAACCTTTCTGTGGTCGGTCCCTTTCAAACTGAAAACTTATCAGACATTGAAGATAAAGCGTTCTGTGGTTTTCTTTTGGTGACAAATACAATAACTGAACACATCAAAGGAGACAGAATGGCACAGTGTGTCTGTAGCTTTGTAATAAAAGTTGCAGAAAGAAAGCAATAAATGCCTGGAATTGTGTTAATATATTTTAGAGTTCTGTGTTTTGAAGGGAAGATGGCTCTGTGTGGGGTGTGTGTGTGTATTAGCACACGTCAGGACTGTGTGCTGGCAGGGCAAAGCAGACAATATTGTTAATTTACCTGTGTGCCACAACTTGGTCTGATATTTTGTGTGGGTTCTGTGAATCAAGCAGAGGAATTATTTTTTTTAATGATTTGGGAACAGTTTCTGGTATTTAGTGAAAAAGGACAGTTTTTAATCTGTTCACCTCTACAGCCAAATGCTATAATTGCACTAGCAGCCAAATTTTAATTAGCAAGATCAAATTTTGGAGTTCCTGGAGTGGACCAGGGATTTCAAGGTCAAGCTTAGCACCTCCACCTCTTCTGAGGCAAATCTGTGTCTCACTACTCATTCCAGTGGCAGCAAATGTCCAAGCTATGACATCTCAAGTTCAGAAAAGATGGCCCTCACACAAACTTCATCTTGACCTGACTTGGTCATCTCTGACCCAAAAATCCCTGTGCAGAAATTGCACACTTGGGTTAGGAATGAGGAAGTATTTGTCTGTTGACTCCATTTCTGTGGCTCTCTGAAACTCTTGAGAGATTTGAAATATTGGAATAAAGACCTGGGGGAGATGCAGAGGTGAGAAATCCTGGGAGGTGGTCAGATATGAATGGGGAATTCCCATTAATGGCTTTCCTACCTGGGCAGCACCTCTGTGTACATTAGGTACTTAGAGCATGCCCAGGACTCCAGATTACTCAGACCTGATGATTAGCATGGAATCATTGGAAAAGATCCTTACATTTGTTGAATTATTACCCATACAGAGATTTTTCCAGCTCTTGGAAATGCCAGTGGGAAAAAAATCCCTGCAATGTCCAGTGGGAAACCAGTCGGACACATGGAGCCATTCCCAGGTTTTTACATCTTTTCCCGGCTGGCCCATTGGCAGAGAAAGATGAGGTAGAAATTAATGGTCCCAGTATGAAGCCAGACACACATAAATGGGAAATGCAGACACTTTGGAAGGAGCTATCAAAGGAAGAGGTAGACACTACATCTCTCAAAATCTTCAGTGGTGGGTGCTTTGTGGCCAGTGTGTGGCTGAATGTAAGATTTTAGGAATGCTACTGGGTTAAAGGGACTCATGGAGCCCAGATGAGGTCATCTAGTGGTGCCTTCTGGCCCTAAGGAAATGCAGCTGAGCTGCAGAGAAAAGGAGATGCCGGAGCACGTCCCTGCACATGGCTCTGCTGCTCGCAGCGAGCACCGTGGTTGCATGAGTGACCTCATGGCAACGATGGGCACACAGCTGCACAGCCAGGCTGCACAGCCAGGCTGCCCACCCAGCTCCAGCAGCCTCCAGGCAGGATGATCCCAGCACTTTCCAGCTTAGTGGTGCAGTCATGGTGTTATTTACCTAAAGCAGGGCTCTGCACCGACATTTACAGCCGCTCTGTGCAAACAGCAGCATGTCCCCTGTGTACTCACACCCCTCCTTTGTAGGGTCTGTCATTCAAATGTGCTGGCATGGGTTAGGGGCTGTCATCCAGTGTGTTGGGGTGGGTTAGAGTCTGTCATCCTGCATGTCCTTTGATGACCAGCTGAGGGAACAGGGTGGTTTAGTTTGGAGGAGGCTGGCTTTGGGGGGACCTCACTGCTCTCCACAACTACCAGAAAAGAAGCTGGAATGAGGTGAGGGTTGGTCTCAATGAGGATGAGAGGAAAAGGCCTGAACTGCACCCATGGAAGTTCAGATTAGATAACTGGAAAATGTTTTTCACTGAAAGAGTGATTAGGCATTGGAGTCAGTTTTCCAGGGAGGTAGTGGAGTCACTCTTTCAGGAAATGTTCAAGAGGTGACTGGATGTGGCACTTGGGGAGATGGTTTAGGGGTGATTTTGGTGGTGCTGGTTTGGCAATGGGACTGGGTGATCTTGAGGTTCTCTTCCAACCTTGATGATCTTGTAACTGCAGGGAGCACCAAGACAGAGCCAAATCAGTGAGATAAATTGCGAGACCACCAACCAATTATACTCTCTTAGTATCCTCCCTTACTTACTTACTTAGTTACTGCCCTTTAAATCTTTAAATCTCAAACTAGATATAAAGAAAAAAAATATTTTACTATGAGGATGGTGAAACACCAGGTTGCCCAGAGAGGTGGTGGATCCACAGGGATTTCCCCATCCCTGGAAACATTCAAGGCCAGGTTGGACAGGATCTGAGCAACCTGATCTAGTTGAAGATGTGTCCCTGCTCATTGCAGGGGGTGGGACTAGATGACCCTTGAAGGTCCCTTCCAACTCACTCCATGCTGTCAATCTATGATCCAAATGTGCTGGGATGGGGTAGGATCTGTCATCCAAATGTGATGGGATGCATCCAGGTCACCTGCCAGGTCAGTTCTGTATTCTGGACCTGGCAGAAAATGCTAGTAAGTAGGGAGCTGTAGGTATAGACTTTTTCTTCACCTTATCTTACCAGCAGAGCATTTCTTCACCCAAGATTCTCAGCTTTTAAAAGTTTGCTACAAACGTAAAAAAGCCACGAGCAAATCCCAACACCAAAAATGTGGATTGCTGTAGTTGGAAATAGGAAGCAATGGCTGATAAAACCACATTTAAAACACTGGTGTTATATTGACTGTTAGGTGGCACATATATTTTATTTATTTATGGAGTGGAGTCTGGAGAAAAGATAATGTCCATTTTGAGTTTTGTTTAGCCAAGGCACCTTTGTGTTTGTTTACCAGCTTCAGGTCTTTGCAAGCAATATATGGAGATATGACCTTTATTTGTCCTCATTTTAGCTTATGCATTTTTTCTTTCTTTCTTTTTCCTTTTCTTTTCTACCAGTCTGCTCTAATTAGGATTTAACATATCCTCCAATATGCATGGACATCAGCAAGGCAATGAATATTCTTTTTTTCTCATTTTCACTAACCAAATCCAGTCCAAAGTGCTATTTCTATCCGAGCTGATCTATGTTTTAGTGAAAGGAGTAATAAATAACATTTTAGACCAGACTTCAAAATGCCTTTTTCCTTTGATCTGAGTAATTAAAGTCAAGCTGCTGTTCCTGAGCGTTTTCTGATGGAATTACACGAATTACACAGTTCTTCAATTGTATCTTATTAAGCATTATGTGTTATTGCTGCTGTTCAAACAATTAGCACCTAAATATGCCCCATATTCTCATAAAGAGGCAGTAACAGTGTTAATGTTAATGCCCTGGTTAACAGTTTGCTCCCATCCAGAGTCCACCATCGTGCTCGAATGCCATTTAATATCAATCAGGTCTTTACTGATGCCCTTCTAAAGTTCTCTTCTGCAATCATTTAACTGTGCAGCGAAGTGAGAAGTCGAAAAATAACGTTAAGTAAAAATGGCATCTCTCTTAATGCAGGATTTTTTCTGAGTTCATTGCAAGTTTTGGTTGTAAAAAGGCGAGTGCTTCATGGTGATCGGTCATTTTGACGTTTTTATGGTGTTTTTATTACCCCTGGCTCATTTCCATACTAAAGAGAACATTTGTAACAATACTTGCTCGCTCTGTTATGATTAGGATTGCGCTTTGTTCGGCTGTTGCTGCGCCCAGTAATGCTCTTGGCACATGTCCTCCCAGACCCTGCGGTGTATTTATTCAAAAGGAAGGAAAAAGAAGTGTCTACTAAAACAATAAACTACTACTGCTTGCGTTAATGTGGCCATAGCTTCCTTATGCTGCAGACAATCAGTTAGAAAAGCTGTTGGGTAAACTTGCTCCTTTATTGCTGAAAAAATAAATATTCATGAAACTTACAGCCACTTTTTCCTCTGATGTATTATTGGGTTGAAAACTGTGAAGGATTAAAGATAATGATTTAATCAGAGAGATAAGGATGGAGGTCCTGATCCTGGAACCAATGGGAGCTAGGATCTGAAATACTAATGAGAAGCTGAGTATGGGTTTAAGGCAAATTTTGATGTGTTACTTAAATATTAATGTTATCCTGCATGCAAGGAGAGGTTCAACCCAATATTAATTTTATTAATATTGAAAATGGAATACAGTAATATATTCATTAATACTGTCTAGGACTGGAGGTGAATGTGAAGAGAGAAGTCATGAATGGTAGGGAGGGGCAATTGAAAAAAGAGAGGGAGTGGTGTCATGTCACCAGAGGTTTCCAGGGTCAAGTCAAGTCAAGGCTTTAGCCACTCCACATGTGTTGGATCCCAGGAGGCAGCTGGAGCACCTGTGGGGGCTTCCTCAGACCCAGGGCAAACTAGAGCACTCAGTGCCCACTGTGTAACAGGCAATTTCTCTTGAGCACAGCAGAACATTTTTCATTTAAAGTGTGCTTGTGTCTTGCCTGGCTTGCAAAGACAAGGAAGGATGTTTTAAAGTTTAGATTCATCTTTGTTCTTAAGCGACTTGGTGAAAATAACAGCAGAGTAATCATAAGCTTCCTAAAACAGGGAAGAGAAACAGG